GGGAGGGGAGGGAGGGGAGGGGAGAGAGCCACCCAGACCTTTCCTCTGTGGGGTCTCGGAGGGGGGGGGGGAGGGGAGGGCGAGGGGAGTGGAGCGGCGGGGCCACTCAGCCGTAGATGCCGTACACACCGTAGACGCAGCACCCTGTCGATCGCGCAGTACACGGAGTACCCTGTCGGTAGTGTACACGATGTCGATGTGATGCCTACAGCCTTAAGTTGGTAGACGTAGTAGCTTGTGTGTAACGTGCGCATGTATACCCTTGTCAGTAACGCTGCAGTTGTTCGTAATCGTCCCCGGTTTCAGGCAGGCTGGTCTCGCCATGACTCCCCGGTCGTAGTACTCAGCGTTCCACGTGTCTTCGTTTGAGTAGGTGTTGTACGTCTCGCTGCTTCCCTCGCGTGCTCCACGTCGCTCTCGTTGTCCTCGTCATCGCACTCGTCTTCCTCCCGTCGTCGGAAAGGTTCCGCGGCGAGGATCGGCGTGGGCCGCTGGCCCATAGGTATCAGGTCCCGGTGCGCCTCGTGATGGTCGCGGGCGGACGAGAGCGCTTCGACGGCTCCTGCGGGGCCCCGCGCGCGGACCATCGCGCTGGTGGCGCCTTACTACGCCCACTGGCACCATCATGTCGTGGGGGTTGTGGAACGCGGGGTTCGTGAGTTTGGATACAGTCGGGGCGTTGACCTAAGGAACCCTAAACAAGGAACGAGGCCCCTTTTTCCCACAAGTTAACCTTCGATTTCCTGTCGAAAACATAAGGAAAACCTGAGGCAAACTGTGAAACACTTAAGGAACGCGGAGCCCCTTTCCAACGAAAAGGGTTCCTTCTTCAGGGCCCCGACTGTAAGGCCCTTTTGGCGAAAGCATTTGTGATTGCTGCCACTCGGCGATCATGGCCCTGAGGAAGACCGGCCCCTGGACGGTGGCGTACATGATAAAGTTGGGCTCATCCTGATCGTCGCTCTCCTCGTCTTCCTCTCGTGGCCCTCGGACGACGACGACGACGACGACGACGACGACAACGACGACGACGACGACGACGAGAGCAGGCGGGGCTCTCCCGAAGACGAAGTCGCTGAAGATGTTGCCGAGCATGTCCTGCCGCGCAGCCAGGCGGCACTGAGGCGTGTGCGAGGCGCACACGGCACACACGGCCCGCTGGTGCGGAGAGAGCTGTCAGCACTGCGCCCTCGGACGCTGCCAGGTGGGATGCGTAGACCCTCGGGGCTCCCTCGGGACGTTATGGCTCGCCTGCCCTGCCCATCAAGGATGCGTGTGGTGTGCAAACTGTTCCAGGAGGGGGGGGGGAGACGGGAGAACCCTATCCCGTCGTCCCCGTCCCCGAGACATGCCAATGCCAATGCTCTCCCTATCCCGTCGTCCCCGTCTTCTCGCCCGGGAGTGGAAGCGGGGAGGGGGGGGGGGGGGGGCGGTCGGTGTCGGAACGCTTTCTTGTTTTAAGCAGATCTAGATTCTGGGCGCCGGCACGTGGCACTCACGGCCCACCACATACCGCTTCTTCATCACCGAGGCCCAAACAGGGACAGAAAGGTGCTGAAAAACCTCAATCCTAGAACCTCGCTCGTCCAGGATCAGAGATCGAGACGATGATGACGACGACAACGACGACCACCACCCTCGACCACGACGGCGACGACGACGACGGTGACTACGACGACGACGTCACATCAAGCAAGCAAGCAAATTACTCACTGTGTGGAGCTCCCCATATGTGCATCTCATGATTTATGTCATGCCATAGTGAGCGTCTGTTCATGAGCGCTTGACTATAATAGCACGTCCACGTGGGCGACAGGGCCGACGAAGACGAGTGAATCCTAATGCGAGTGGGTGAGTATGAGTCAGAATGATTTTTGACTCAAAATCAGCTCTGAAAGCCAAGGATGTTGGGCATGAAAACGAGCAAACCGCCTGACACATCCCCACGAACTGGCCGCGAACGGGCCCGTGCAACCACCCCTGGCGGCTCCCCTGAGGGGTGCTGAAACCAGCGCCCCGCCTGAGACATCCTCAAAATCTGCCCTGGAAGCCAAGGATGGTGGGCATGAAAACGAACAAACCGCCTGAGACATCCCCACAAACTGGCCGCGAACGGGCCCGTGCAACCACCCCTGGCGGCTCCCCTTAGGGGTGCTGAAACCAGCGCCCCGCCTGAGACATCCTCAAAATCTGCCCTGGAAGCCAAGGATGTTGGGCATGAAAACGAGCAAACCGCCTGAGACATCCCCACAAACTGGCCGCGAACGGGCCCGTGCAACCACCCCTGGCGGCTCCCCTTAGGGGTGCTGAAACCAGCGCCCCGCCTGATCTGGAAGCCAAGGATGTTGGGCATGAAAACGAGCAAACCGCCTGACACATCCCCACGAACTGGCCGCGAACGGGCCCGTGCAACCACCCCTGGCGGCTCCCCTGAGGGGTGCTGAAACCAGCGCCCCGCCTGAGACATCCTCAAAATCTGCTCTGAAAACCAAGGATGATGGGCATGAAAACGAGCAAACCTCCTGAGACATCCCCACGAACTGACAGCCGTGCAAACACCCCTGGCGGCTCCCCTTAGGGGTGCTGAAACCAGCGCCCCGCCTGAGACATCCTCAAAATCTGCTCTGAAAGCCAAGGATGTTGGGCATGAAAACAAGCAAACCTCCTGAGACATCCCCACAAACTGGCCGCGAACGGGCCCGTGCAACCACCCCTGGCGGCTCCCCTTAGGGGTGCTGAAACCAGCGCCCCACCTGAGACCCGCCTGAATATGAGTAAGTCTGTGTATGAGTAAGTTTGTGTATGTGTACGTCTGGGTATGAGGAAGTCAGAAGATGAGTAGGTCTCAGTATGAGGAAGTCTGTGTGTGAGTAAGTCTGGACATGAGTAAGTCTCGTATGAGGAGACGAGAATAGGAGGAGACGAGAAGAGGAAGGAGGAGGAGGAGGAGGCGTCCAAGTAATAACAAGAACCCCATCGTAGGATATGGAGAACAAACAGACACAGTAATACACTGGAGCTTCAAAGATTGCGCAAAGTGCGGGAGTCCTTCAGGGACGGCGCCACCTCCTGGCGAAGCGAGCGAAAGTCAATGAAGAGGCCGAAATGATTTCGGCAAGACAATCAGGCACCCTCGACCTGCACGTGGGCTGCTCCATGAGGCGATCGACGTTTCATCCATACCCTGCCCACACCAAACTCTACGAGGAGGCGGGGGCGGAGTGAGGCAGGATCGGTCAGCATCAAATCGAAAAGTCGAATCGGTTTGGAATGTAAGTCGCACCAGACCGCATCGACACGGAGTCGGCATCGAATCGGATCGGCCGCGCCAGGATGCACAAAAGCACCGTGCACGCACCAGGCCACGTCGCATCGTCAAGATATCGGAATGGACTTGGATCGGTCTGGCTGGGACCGATATCGAATCGGATCGCTCGGGCCGAAATGGTCCCTGGAATGGGGGGGGAGGGGGAGGGGCAGCGGGGTACTTAAATCTTCTGGCATTTCCCTCGCCATCTCTTGCGCGAGCCCTGGTAGCAGCCTCAACTTGTTACCCAAACGCACAAATTGGCGCCTTCATATGTTTTCCCCTCGAGGAACGTGACAAGCCTGGCCTTGATATCCGCCGGGGGGGGGGGCGTTTGGAGCATCGTTTAACCGACCACGATCCCCACTGGCGTGGCCCGGGCCCATCTGGCCGATCTACCACGTCTGGGGGATTTAGGCTGCTCCCTTTGAGTTGCGAGGGGCCTATCCCCAACTAGGGGGATGGGATGGCGGGGCTGAGACACCATGGGCCAGTAGGGACGGGGGCCGAAAGAGGGGCAGCGGGGAGCGGGAGCCGCCAACGCCAGAGCGCGGCGGTGGCCCGCACCAGACGCCTCGCTCTCTGCGCTCCCCCGTGCGACACGCCTGGTGTCGGCCGTCGCTCCCTCGCCGACACCGGGGCGACGAGCGAAGGGCTGTTGCTGTGTTCGGCCACGCATGCTGTCAGTTTATCTCAGGAGGGGAAAAAACACACAGACACAAGTAATCGTCGATTCCCAAGAAAATATGGGAAAATATGGGAAGTGGGGGGGAAGACGAAAACCCAGAAAATATGGGAAGATGTGGGGGATCCTGTTCTTTGTGTGTATTTGTGTGTGTGTGTGTGTGTCCCAGGGCCCCCTCATTATCATACGAGCGACGGGAAGCAGCGGGCCTTAACGCGAGATGGCAAACCGCGGCCCTGCGCGGTGGCTTCCGCGGGCCGCCCGCGCGCGCCCGCGCGGCACACCACACCGGACGCGGGGGCGCATGACCGCGCGACCCGCTGCGGGCAGCGCACATCGCGGAGGTCGGCGCAGTCGGCCCCATTTTTTCTCCCGTCGCCCACAGATCTCCACGGTTGGAACAACAGGAAAAAGGCGCTGGCCGAACGTCCGTCGAGGTCCACGATGCCGTGGATGCCGTCGTCGGCACTCTGAGGTCCGGCCCTCCCTCCCTCCCTCCCTCTGAGGGAACGCGCCCGGCCGGACAGAAGAGGGGGGAGTGGTGCTCCCCGCTCTCGCCGCTCAGAGCGCCGCCGACATCGAAGACATACTCAAGACGAAGGCAGCATCGAGACACTATCGGACCGAAATAAGCCAGAAATCTCTGAGGATCGGCGGGTTTGGAGAATGTATCGGGCGCCGCGGCCACGTCAGAGCGTTCCAAAACGCTCTGAGGGCGCTCTGGAACGCTGTGGAACGGACCTATCTCGATTCCAGGCCCGTCCGAATGTTCCCGCGCTCATGTGCTCTGAGACCGGATGATGGCAGGACCTGGTCAAGCCTCTACCGCTTCCAGGGTTAGAGGAAAAAAGAACGGCAGAAACATAAACTTGCGGCGCTCCGCGCGGGTTTCTTGGATCGGCGCTGGGCCCCCCTCCCAAGCTCGCGGAGCGCGCCAGGGGCAGCGCCGGCGACGCACCCAGGAGGACCCGGGGCGGATCCAAGAAATCCACACGGACCTCCGAACAAATATTTGTATGCCGTTTGTGGTTATTCGAAGGGTGACACAGGCCTCCCCGAGTGGAGGCTCGTCTGTGTCCGCGCACGGTCGCGCAGCAGAACTGGAGGGGGTCAGCAAGGTCGTCAACAAACTCCGCCCTCGTCCCAGTCGACCACGATAACCCCTTCCCTCGACCGTTCGCCTTCAGTTTCAGTGAGGACGGGAGGCACAATCGAATACATACACACACGGGCTTGCGACGAGTTCTCACCGTGCGCTAGTTTCCTCATGCTGTTATCAGGGGCCGACATCATACGCTCGCAGAGAATGAAAAGTATTGCGAGCTCGGTGGACAAGCGATATCTTGCTTGAGATGGTCTGAGACGCATGGTCCGAACGCATGTCATGATTTCACCGTTTATGGGACGGAAGGGAACGTAGCAAAGATGATATCTGGGATCGCGCCTGGCTTGGGATAGGAAAGCAAAGACGTGGCAGAATGTGCTCCGAATGCGCATCTGCCACGCCCACACGAGCGGAGCGAAGAGCATACGCTGACGGCAGCAAGGCGACCCTTGCGCTCACTGCCGGACGCTGTCGGCGAACCGCCCCGACCAGACCCGGGTGCCCGTGAACACGAGCAGGGCGCAGAAGGACGGAGGAGCGACGAGCGAGTAGAGGAGCCAGGAGGGAAGAGGGGCGGGGGAGGTGGTGGACTTAGGTCGGGCGTGTTCCCCGACAGGCTGATTTGGGAAGAACATGAAAAATGCTCTCAACAAATACCCGAAAGTCTTCAAACAATGATCGACAACCGTCCCCAGACTCTGTTGATACTACTTCTGAATATTTCTCCTGTGGAGGGACATGCCCGACTTCACACCAGGAGGGCGCAGAGGGACGGAGGAGCGACGAGCGAGGAGTGGAGCCAGGAGGGAAGAGGGGCGGGGGAGGTGGTGGACGGGAGGGAGAGAAGGGCGGCGGAGGAGCAGAGGCCCGCCCAGCGGGAGCGCTCGCCTGCATGACCTCCACGGCGTTGACCGCCACCTGCGGGCCGGCGGCCAGAAGAGGCGGCTTCGCAGCGCTCCTGCTCGTTGACAGTTGTCGCGTGCGCGGAGCTGCACTGCCAATGCCGCGCTTTCTTGTGGCTTCGCTGCGTTCCTTTTTTTTCTTGTTTTCTTTCCGGCGAACATACCACTGGTGCCCGACCACATGCACTAGGCAAGCTTGGAATCACCTGAAGGCCAACCTGCAATAGGCGAGTCGACACGCAAGACCTTGGCCAGTGCAGGTAAACTAAAACGGGCGTAGCCGCGGCCACGTAGCAAGGCTCTCATGCTCCGTGGCTTTGCTGCGTTCCTGCTCTCGCAACGCACACCGTCAGCGGCGGCGGAGAGCTCGACTCAATTTAAGCCCAACAGGAGGAGGAGGAGGAGGAGGAGGAGGAGGAGGAGGAGGGGAGGGGAGGGAGGGAGGGGAGGGAGGGAGGGAGGGAGAGGGAGGCACCCGCGCGAGCGGAAAAAGACGATCTGGGTGAGCTGACCCGAGGGCACCTCGGAAGTGCACAACAGTCGATGCCGAAGCCAAAGCTGCAGTGCTGAGCATCGTTGATCTGATCCTAGTCGATAAATTTACGCTAGTCGACTCTAGATCTACCCCTTCTCGTCGATTACTAGCCGCTAGCGCACGCCAATGCGCTCTAGAGACGGAATTCCGAAGACATACAGGGCTCGCATGAGTTGCTACGAGCCCGTCTTTGTATTACTCGCGATATGAGCACCGTTGATCCAACCCCTATCCCCAACGTCTTGGCCTCGGCCCCACTGGCCGATTTGCCACCCTGGATGGGGATATAGGCCGTTTCCTTCGGGTCTCGACGAGTATATCCCCAACTGGGGTGGTCAAATGGTCGGGGCCTGGATGGGGATAGGGGATGGGGATAGGGGTCGGATCAACGATACTGAAGTGCACAGAACAGGAACGGACCCACCGCGCAGATTCGATTAACAGCACACGATGCGGCTTCCCCCGAGCGTGGCATGGGGAAACGGGCCCCGAGGGGAAATGGGTCCTGGACCTCTGGGGCCTTCCCCCGAAACGAGATACTCATCCTGCACCGTTGCTTCACAGTCCCGGGGCCCGTGGAGGGCCCCGAGAGCTCGAACACGGCGAGAAAAGCCGCGGGACCCGCTTCCCTCGGGACCCGCCTCCCCCCATGGGTGACCAAGCACAGCCCCCCTGCAGAGTAGCAGCGGGACAGCTCGGGCGTTCACGCTCATGCCTTGCTGATCTCCTGGCGCGTGTCGGCACTACTGCTGCCGCCGCTGCCACCGCCACCACCCCCTCGTCAGCGCCACCGACTCGGGTGACGGCGACAGCGACAGCGGCGGTGGTGAGAAGGAGGAGGAGGAGAAGGAGGAAGAGGAGGAGAAGGAGGAGGAGGAGGAGAAGGAGGAGGTGGAGGACTGAAGAAGACCCAAGATGCATCAACGATGTTGCAGCCCTCCCTCAGAGTTCCCTCTTCACAGGTCGCTGCAGGAAATCGCTTTCATTGCGGGATTTGGCCCAGTAGAAAACAATCGTCTGAGAGTCCTCAATCGTGCCAAAACACCTGTCCTGCGATGTCAACGCCGCGGATCAACGTGACTGTTGCAGCCTGGCAATTCTAGATCGTACCAGATCACAAATCCTGGGAATCCAACACCAGGAATCAGTGTGACTGTTGCGTCCTGACAATCCTAAACCGTGCCAGAAACAAAAAAAACCCTGGGACTTTAGCCATACGAGCCTTTGAAACTGCTGCGAAAGTTTAAAACGACTATGCGCGGCGATGAGGCAAGAGCCACATTTTGAAAGCCACCCGCCCTCCATCCGCAAACTGCTGCAAACTTTTGAAGCCGAATCTGCGCGACACTATGGCGAGAGCCACATGCTTTAAACCACCTGCCCTCCATTCGTGAAAATACGGCAAGTTGTTTAGCAAAATGAATGCGGTGCTAAGGCGAGATCCACATGTTGAACACCACCCGCCCTCCATCCGTGAAACTGCTGCAAACTATTGACACCGAATCTGCGCGGCGCTATGGCGAGAATCACATGTTTAAAGACACCTGCCCTCCATCCGTGAAAATGCTACAGGCTTGTAAAACGAATGATGTGTGGCACTAAGGCGAGATCCACATTTCCTAAACCGTCAGCCATCCGTCCGTGGAAATCCCACCAGCCCTCTGGGCGTCGGTGGTTTAACGAGTTTCCTCTTCCACCCCTCCCTCTTCCCCTTCGGGGAGGGGTTTACCCCTCCCCCTACCCCCTCCCCACTGACCTGGACAGGGGGGGCGGGGAGCGGTCAGAGCGTCCAAAACGGCCTCGGCGAGGAAGCCAAAATCATTGATTTTACTATGGTTTGGGCCCCATTTGGGCCTTCTGAGGGGGCAACGCTAATTAAGGCTCCCCTCTTCTTTGATCGATTTCCTCCACGATGGCCACAAGAGGCCCCCAGGATGCCCCAAGAGGCCGCAGGATGGCCCCAAGATGGCCCCAAGAGACCCCCCAAGAGGCCCCCAGGAGGCCCCCAAGAGACCCCCAAGAGGCCCCAAGAGACCCCCCAGAGGCACCCAAGGTGCTCCCAGAGGCCCCAAGATGGCCCCAAGAGGCCGCAAGAGGCCCCCAGGAGGCCACAAAAAGGATCCCGAACGGCCCACAGAGGCCCCCCCGAGGCACCCAAGACGCCGAAAAGCCCCTCAGGACGACCCCCTACTCGCCTGGGCGTCGTTTCTGGACGGGCTGGTGGGGATACGCGAAGCGTCTAGAATTGTCGCATACGTTCAACAAAAGAAATGTGCGCGGCATTGTGGGGATAGCCACATGTTTAAAACCACCCACCCTCCATCCGTGAAACTGCTGCAAACTGTGAAAAAAATGCGCGGCGCTATGAGGGGAGAACCACAAGCTTAAAACCAACCGCCCTCCATGCGTGAAATTGTTGCAAAGTCTGTATATCGATACACAAAAAACGAAAGTACGCGGCACTATGGCGAGAGCCACATGATTAAAGCCACCCGCCCTCGATCCGTGAAGCTGTTGCACACTTACCAACCGAATGAGCGCGGCGCTAAGGCTAGAGCCACCTTTTGAAAGGCACCCGCCCTCCATCCGTGGAACCGGTGCAAGCTTTTGAAGCGAATGCGCGCGGCGCTAAGGCGAGAGCCACATCTTGAATACCACCCGCCCTCCGTCCGTGAAACTCTTGCAGGTTTTTGACACGAATGCGCACGGCGCCAAGGCGAGAGCCACAGCTTGAATGCCACCCGCCCTCCGTCCGTGAAACTCCTGCAGGTTTTTGACACGAATGCGCACGAATGAACCACAGCTTGAATGCCACCCGCCCTCCGTCCGGGAAGCTGTCGTGATTTCAAGCTTCAGGATCATAAACGGCTAGGGAAAATCAGGCGAAAAGGTAGTCCGTGAAATCCTGAACTCAAGATTGATCGTTTAAGAACTCAGGATCAATCTTGATTTTACGCTTTCAGCCTTTAAACTCCCGGCCGTCCGTGAAACTGTCGTGATTTCAAGCTTCAGGATCATCAACGGCTAGGGAGTATCGGGCGAAACGCCCGCCCCGCCCTACCGACACCTCTGGAGGTGCGACGCGGAGGAGCTACTTCAAAGGGAACTGGATGGTAGAGGAGGAGGACAAGGAGAAGGAGGAGGAGGAGGAGGATCCAGGAGGAGGAAGAGGAGAAAAAAGAGGAGTAGAAGGAGGAGGAGGAGGAGGAGGAGGAGGAGGAGAAGAAAGAAGGGGAGGGAGGGAAGGAGGGGGGAGGAATGGAGGAGGAGGAGGAGGAGGAGGAAGGGAGGGAGGGAGGAAGGGGAGGAGGGTGAGGATGAGGGGGAGGGAGCCAGGGGGGAGGAGGAGCGATCCCCAAAAGACCCCCTGTGACTGGACTGCAATGGAGCCCCCCCGCGCCGCTCCCAATCCCAGCGGCGGCCTTGGCCCCGAAATTCAGGACGGCTCCGGTCAGCTCCGTGACGC